CCCCAGGCGTGCTATCATACACTGATATGCTCTGTTTATCCCAAATGGATATATAGTTCTAAGGAAGTAATAGGTTAAAATTGCATCTTAGTAGCGTAAGCCAGTGCATTTTTATGTTTTAAATATGAAACGTTGATTACTTTAGTGCAAAATGCGGCGTGTATTTGACCTTTCGTCACCAACTCTCTTTCAATAAGCTCGTAGCTAGATAAAATATTAGAAGTAGTACCACCTCCAATTGCAATATTACTAAATGCACCAGATGGACTCATTAAGTCAATATCTGAATTAAGGGTAGCAGCGGTGCTATCTGACACATTTCCTTTAGGTGTTATCACAACAAGCGCGTGTGGGCCGGATTGAATGATTGCATTTCCTGATCCACCAAAGTGGGAAAATGAGGCATGTCGTGTTAAAATAACTATGCTTGGATATAGATTGGAAATTGAAGCTGCTAAAACCCCCGTTTTAGAATTCCATGAAAGAGCCTTGATTGATGCTGGGCTTGAGAGCCCAATATCCTGAGAATGAACAAGTTCAAAGTGAGGCAAAGCTTGCCAAATAATAGTTGGATCAGCATCCTCTGCAAAGTTGCTAGCTGGTGTTAGTGCCCGCTTGATAGCGGAGACTTCCAGTGATTCATGTTTTTTACTGGGTATATCGAAAGATGGATCGAAAGCTATAGATAGTTCATCAAGGCGCCGCCAAAAGGCGATGATTCCATTACTAAGGCCAGCAGCTAAAATAGCTGAAGAACCATCAAAAACAATTTTTTATGTACCTGAATTATTATCAAATGCAATAGTTGTGATTTTTGCACTTCTATCTGTTTTACAACATTCAGGCGTTAAGTAATAATTGTCTGATTGATTTATATCCCAAAAGCGGACAACCGTTTCCTTCAGTGCCATTGCTACAGTGGAATCTCCAGCCCACAGTAGTGTGGGGCTATCACAGCTTCCATTAGCAAGTTTCATCTATCAAGAAAATAAGAAAAAAATAATAAGAAAACTTATCTAAAAGCATATCGCTTCTCATGGATCTAAGATTGAGGCCCTGAAACTGCAGAAAGATTTATGCATAAACACAGTTTTTAGTAAAAATTATCAGTATAATTAATTATTAATAGAAGTTAAATACAGTCGAAATAAAAATGGTAATATAAACGAGGCTGTTAAAGCAAAAAGACATAGATAATTACCATTGTATATATAAATATATATAATCAGGGTTAAAATATATTGTTAACCTGTATATATCAATACCGAATATTTGCTTGAAGTAAATGAAAAATATTAAAAGT